AGATGAATTAGCTGTTGCCCAAACAAGAGAGATGGGGTTTTTGGGATGAGAGAATCTGTTGGATTCCAGTTGTCTGTTATTTGAAGACCCAGAGACAAGCATTAGATATTATAGAAAACAGGAGGTCAGTATAACTTGGTGTTGAGAGTGGGAATGGAAGAGGAGTGCCAAGAGATAAAGCTGTAAACATTAGTGAGAACTAGATTATGCAGAATTTTATGTACTGCTACACAAAGAAATACTTAACCTTATTGTGAATGTATTGAGGGCCTATTGGTTTTCTGGGAAACCAAATTTATGGCGTTTAAAGGACAAAATTGATATAATTGTGATAAGAGGACTTATGCTAATTTACAGGCAATAAGAATGGAGAAAATGGACAAATTTGAGTTATTTTGAAGAGCTAGAGTAATGGTCAATATAAGCATATGATAGAGAATAAACAGCCTTTGGACTTAGCTGAAACTAGCTCAGATCCCAGTGCTATTACTTAGCTATTTAGACTTTAGATGTTTAATATGCCTCTAGGGCCTCAGGTTCCTCAACTTAAAACTGGGACAGCAGTATTTCACCCATTGGTATGACAGTAAACAATATATGTATAGATCCTGTAAAGTACTTTTCACATATTAAGTAAATGATAGGTACTATTCATGTGAGGGGTGAAGGAGATGAAGGGGAATCAAGAATGACTTCCAGTTATTCTATTTGGACAGTAAGGAAGACCTCATTTAGGAGAGTCAGGTAAACTCTCTGATTCCTAGACAGATTGCCTGTGAGATGAGTGATAATGTTCCCTGGCAAATGACAATAAGAATTTGACACTCATGAGAGATACTTGACCAGAAGATACAGATACGGAAGAGATCAGCTTTCACACAGTAGTAAAAGCTGTGGAAGTGGATGACATAACCCAATGAGAAAGTTAGAATGAAAAGTCAAAACCCTGGAGAGTAGCCTGTGTGGTTAGAGAAGTAGATGGAAGACCAATAGCAAGTACTATGAATGAAACACAAGAAGGAGTGAGTTTAAAGAGTGGAGTTAGCAGCTTCCATATGCTTCAGAGAGGTGAAATAAGAGTCAAAGAAAGATTATTTTTAATTTACCAACAAATGAAACCATATCATAATTTAGCAGAGGAATGGATGAAATGGGCACTTAATTTCTGTAGTTTGAAGAGAGAATGGGAAGTGAATAAAAGCAACCAAAGTAGATAAATCATTTAAGGATGTAACTTTAGATTTAAAAACCATTTAGAAAGTTAACAGAAAAGGAAGGGGCTTCTGAAGATGGGGAGCCAGAGTGGTTTCAAGGACAGAGTGGTCAGTGGTGTGAATTGTAGCAGAGCATTCCTCTAATCATGCTCACTAAGAAAATAAATGCACATTGGATTTGGGTATTAGGTGGAAGTCTGTGAGCCAGGAGCTATGTCCTTATGTTGGGATATTTTGAATGGCAGGCTTTGGTCAGTGGGGAATTGAAAGTTAGTTAGTATGAAAGTGATATGAGATTACCATCTTATTTTTTCTGATAGCAGTTTAAAGGATAAGATAGGAGACTTAGGTTCCTTCAAATTGGTAAGGGAGAAACATACCCTAGATCAGGGTGATGGTGCTGGCAACTGAATGAAGTGAATGCAAGAGCTATGCTCCTAGGTGAATGTATGTATAACTTGGCCATCACTGAATATAATGGGTAAAGGAAAAGTAGCCTAAAAGTTAGTTTTTGTATTTTTTAAGATTCTGAGTATGGATTATAAAGGAATACATTAATACATTAATTGAATAAATTTTTTAAATTGCATTTATTTATGATGCTTTTGTTCTTGAATGACTACTGTGTGTTGGATGCTGGTTCAATGCTGGAGATAGTGTAGTAAGCATACAGGCAGTTACGCTCATGTTAGTCAACACTCAAAAGTGAGGCAAAGACCAAAACAAATAAAATAAAGATCTAGTGTAGTAAGTGTACAGGCAGTTATGCTAATGTTAGCCAACACTCAGAAGTGAGGCAAAGACCAAAATAAAATAAAATAAAGATCATCACAGTAACCTGGTGACAATACAGAGATAGGTTAAGATGATGTGGTTAGGAATGGCATTTCTAAAAAAAGAGATTTTTACTAGGACCACAGTATTACCATAGTTCTCTATGCAAGGATCGGTGCAGGGACATCATACCCAGACTGGAGATTATGGCAAAGTCCCCTAAGAAGGGAATGAATTTGATTCATTTAAGATCCAGGGTAAAAAGGTTTTGTCAGGAGTAGATTGAGCAAGGGAGAGACTAATACAAGATGAGGTCAGAGAGGTCATAGAATTAAGCTTCATTGAGGCCTTTGTGTAAGAGTTTGATTGGTAGCAGTGAAAATGAAAGGAAAGAGGTATTGAGTTTTGTTGAACTGTCTGGGAATTCTAGGTGAAGAAGTCAAAAGAATTGTCATTCTTAAGTATATAAAGTCAAATATGAGTTGATTAGTATTCATTGAATAACTTGCCAACTTGTTAGGTGCTGAAGAAACAATGCTCACAATTTGGAGGCTTGAGGAATTTATCAAAGAAATGGTCAAGGGATCTGGAGGGGAATGATTAGCCACTGAGCCATTAGAGATCCCTAGTGGTTCTTTGGCATAATAAAGACACTTAAATGCCATTGCAGCCTGACAGAAATTACCAACTGTTGTATCAACAGTAGTTGGAAAATATATGGCTGGACTTACCTCATGGAAAATCATGACTTTAGGAGATACCAACTTTTAGTGAGACAGAGACAAACCTTGAAAGCTGACCATAGATATGAGACATTCAGGAGGGGGAGAAGAAGGGGAGAGTTGGGGAGTAGTAAAAATGGGGGATTGGAGAGGATAAAAAGAATACTTGCATCTCTACAGGGTCTGTATAAAGACTTGTCTAGTGCTGGTTCAGCTAAAATTCCCATTTCCAGAAGTGTGGTTTTTGTAGTAAACAGGAAGTATATGTATAAATTGTGTTTCTAGATACCTGCTAATAATTTGAATAGTTGCTTAACCAGGGTCATCATTAAGGAATCAGGACAATGTAAAAGCTGTATGTGCTCAAAAGATACATTGAGGCATAATATGCTTTACATTTAAGTAATATTTTATAATTTACAAAGCCTTTGCCCTTGGGACATCAACTTGATATTTAAAAACAACTCTTTAAGGTAGAGGTCAGGGATTTAGTAGTTCAGTATTATTAGAGGTGCAAAACTGATTATCTCCCACATGCATTCACCGGATGGGATATGAACTCACAATTTCAGGCTGTCTTTGCATTGTTTATCACATCATGTTAATCATCACATCATGTTAATTCACAGGTGAACAAAATTGTAAAGTTTAGCAGTAGAATTAAAACATGTGTCTTTAGTAAAACAGTGGTAAAGTATTGCTTTTTATTTGTATTCTAGTTGTTGGTGCTATTGACGTCGTTTTATGGAGTTAGTGTGGGGTTGATGTCTCCTTTTCTATTTTCCTCCACTACTACCATAGGTTTTGGAGTGCTGTAAAAATACAGAAGAGATTTTGACTTGGACAGCCAGCGGTCTGACTTGATTTAGAAAATGTGTGATACTTTTCTTACTTGCTTGTTTTTATTGTTTCTTCCTGGCTATTTTATATGTTTAAAATACTACATATGCAGCTTTAAAATAAGTTCATTTATTTTATATCCCATAGTCAAATGTTTGTATCTGCTACCATAGGTGATTCTTGTATTGCCACCCACCTGTGGAGACTGTTAATAACAATAGTTGGCATGTAATGGACAGCTGTGTGCCAGGCACTGTGATGAGGCATTTGTAAAAATTAATGTTAGTCTTTACATCAGCTTTCTTAAGTGGGGACATTCCTTCATAAATTGGTGTTTTCTTTCTTGTCCATTCACATATTTGTTATTCCTAATAGCTGGTGGAAAAAAGCATAGCTGTGTTGAAAGGATAATTAAAAGGCATACCCACACATACAACAGGATCAATTTAAAGCATGAGAGTAAATTTTTTTGTTCATATTTTGTAATAATTTTCCTCAAGCAAAAGTATCAAACTAGTATACATAGTAACCTAAGAGGTAAAGTCAAAGTAATCCATCCAAGTGAATAAAATGATGATAATCTAAATATCTGTTTTAGGAGTATAGTGACAGTATTGATGGTTTTGCATTTTTTTTTTAAGATTTATTTATTCATACAGAACTGGGGTACAGGCCAGAGGCTAAGGGGTGGTGAGAGGCTTCACCAGACACAGAGTGGGAGCAGAACAGGCAGATAGATGAAGTCCACTGCTGAGGGGAGCAGCGGGAGGGTCAGGAGAGGTCTGCCACGCCATGTGGTCACCTCCGGGATGGGCGAGGAACTCATGCAGAAGTGGCTTTAGCTTCTTAGTGCTGTGCTTTAACCCACTGCGCCATCAGGGAGGGCCTGGTTTTGCATTTTTAAAAAACTAAGTCGATGTGTATAAAAAATCATTAGCAAAGAAATTTTTGCTTAATTAAGTATTTAAGAATTAGAAAAAGTCATGAAATTTAATCCTTTGTTACTTTTCATTCCTGCATTTTCTTGGCATGAATGAGGTATATTGCTTACAGTGGAAAAAGTAATAGTAGCACTTTGTATTTACATATACTCTTTCATCTGAGGATTTCAAAGTGCTTTTTCAAATAATGTCTTCTGAATCCTCACAGCACTTCAGTAAGGTAGGTAGGTAGCTAATGCGATTATTTTATACAATTAGAAGGTTAAATGATGTGCAACTAGTCCCACCTATCAGGTACAGAAGCAGCCTGAACCACTAAAATAAGAATATTATATTTTAGAAGGGTTTGCTTGATAGAGATTATTGGCCCTTTTTTTTTTTTTTGTACTTTTCACAGATTATCTATTGGAATAAATGGGGTAACTTTAAAATGTCCACATGGAATTTTCTTCTTTATTGTTTCTTTAGAAATGCAGACATTATAATACTCTTTTATTTCCCCTTTTTAGGTCAGCAGCAAGGACAAGATGGAGTAAAAGTCCAACAAGCTACAATAGCTCCTGTAACTGTAGCAGTTGGAGGAATTGCTAATGCAACGATAGGTGCTGTTAGTCCTGACCAACTCACACAAGTGCATTTGCAGCAAGGCCAGCAAGCTTCTGACCAAGAGGTACAGCCTGGCAAGAGACTTCGAAGAGTTGCCTGTTCCTGTCCTAATTGTAGGGAAGGAGAAGGAAGGTAAATGTTATGTTACCAATTCAGTCCCTCTATGAAGGCATGCAGTAGTTAAAAAGAATTCATTGATTCAGTGCTTTGATCACTAAATTTATCACTAGGTTTGCAACCCAGAGGTTGAAAGAAAATATTTTTATGAAAGGGAATGAGTTAAACTGTTCTAGGACTGGGGTTCTGTGGTCTTCCACCTTGTACTTTTTTATGGTTTACTTTTTTTGTATAAAACTATTTTATTAAACATTTATTTACTTAAAGCACACAGTTCACTGGTTTTTAATAAATTCAGATTTCTGTGACCATCATGAGAATCAATTTTAGAACATTTTTCATCACACCCCCACAAAGAAACCTGTATTTTTAAGCCATCATTCCCTAACCCCATCCCAGCTTGTATTACTGTCTTTATATACTTTGTGTATTCTGGAGTCTGTACAAATGGAATCATACAATATGTAGTTAGTTGCAGCTCACTTTATTTACTTAGCATAATGTTTTAAAGTTTGTCATAACATGTGCCAGTATTTCATTTTCAGTGAACGAATAATTCCATTTTATGGGTTTACAATATTTTGTTTAGCCATACATCAGTTGATGGATGTTTGGAATTTTTTCCAAGGTTGGCTATTAGGTTGCCTACATTCTTATATGATTTTTCATGTGGCCATATGTTTTCATTTCTCCTAGGTATGTACAATATGAATAGAATTGCTGGTTCATAATAGATTGAGCCATTTGAGGAATTGCCTGTTTTCCAGTGTGGCTTAATTATTGTACATTCCTATTAATGTCTGACAGTTCCGATTTTGCCACATCTTTGCCAGCATGCATTACAATCTTTTTAATTATAACTGATCTAGTGGCTGTGAAAGGGTATTTCAGTGATTTTTATTTATAATTATGTGATGACTAATGATGTTGAACACATTTTCATGTTCTTATTAGTCATTTGTACAACTTTGGAGAAAGCCTGATCAGATCTTTTGCCATTTTAAAAACAGATAAGTTGTTTTTATTATTGAGTTATAATAGTCTTTATATTAGACATACATGATTTGCAAATATTTCCTTCATTCTGTAATACATTCTTTTCACTTTCTTGATATTGTCCTTTGAAGTACAAAAGTTTTTGTGTTTTATAAAATCCAGTCTTTTCTTGGGTTGCATACGTAAGTTCATTGCCAAATATACAATCATGAAGGTTCCTTGTTTTCTTTTCAGAGTTTTTATACCTTTAAGTTTTTGATCAGTATGGGGTAATTTTTATATGGGGTTGAGGTAAGGATCTATTCAAGACCATTTGTTGAAAAGATTCCCCTTTCTGAGTCACTGAATGGTATTTGGCACTCTTGTCCAAAACCAGATGACTGTACGCATGTCTATCTCCGGCAGTATCTTTGGTTTGTTTGCTTTGGCTTTGTAGTGACTTTTGAAATTGTAAATGTGAGTTTTCCATCTTGATTATTCTTTCTCAATATTATTTTGACCACTCAGAAATAGTTGCATTTCAGCCTGCCAATTTCTACAGAGGCTGCAACTGGGATTCTGGTGGGGATTCATTAAATCGATCTATCAACTTAGGGGATTTTTGCCCACATAACAATATTAAATTTTTTGATCCAAGAAATCAGTTTTTGTATCTTGTATAAGTCTTGTATCTTGCAGCTTTGCTAACTCTTGTATTTTAGTGGCTTTTTAAAATTGAATTCCTTAGGATCTTCTATATGTAAGAGGATGTCATCTACAAGTCAAAATGCATTTACTTCTTCCTTTCCACTCTGAATGACTTATTTTTCTTTACTGCCTAATTGCTCAGTTCAAAATTTACCGATTAGGGGGAAACATCTACAGTACAATGTTAACTAGAATTGTAAAAGTGTTTTAGATTTTAGGTAAGAGCATCCAGTCTCTTATCACAAAGTGTATATTACTTCTGGGTTTCTGAGGAAGCTCCTTTCTATTCCTGTTTTGTTGAATGTTTTTTCATGAAAGGATGTTGGATTAGATCCAGTGTTTTTATGCATCTGTTGAAGTAATCGTGTAGTTTTTATTTTTAATTCTGTCAATATGCTGTATTATATTGTCAGATGTTAAAGTGTCTTTGTGTTTGTGATATAAATTCAACTGGTTAATGATATATTATTATTTTTTTATTTTTTAAAGATTTATTTATTCATATGGAACTGGGGTACAGGCCAGAGATGTGGAGGGTGAGAGGATTCACCAGAGACAGAGAGGGCAGAACAGGCAGAGTGACGAAGTATACTGCTGAGGGGAGCAGCCGGCGGGACAGGAGAGGTCTGCCTCGCCATGTGGATCACCTCTGGGGCAGGTGGCATTCGAACTCATGCAGCAGTGGTTTTAGCTTCTTAGTGCTGTGCTTTAACCCACTGCACAACCAGGGAGGGCCCATATAGCGTTGTTTTTTTATGTTGCTGGATTAAGTTTGCTAGTATTTTTGTTGTTCATGAGATATATTGGTCTGTATTTATCTTTTCTAATATCCTTGTGTGCTTTTGGTATGGATGATACTGGATTCAGAAGTAAGTTAGGAGTGTTCCTTTCATTGTTATTTTTTAAAAACATTTCTGAAGATTTGCTAGTAGTGATATCTTTCTTGCATTTGTGAGTATACGATGTTTGCATTTGTGAGTATACGATGTTGACTCTTGCCTTTTTTTTTTCTTTATCAGTCTTTCCAAAGACATGTTAATTTTGTTGAACTTTATCAACGAGTCAGGTTTTGGTTTCATTGATTTTTTAAAAATTGTTTTCATACTACTTTACTGATTTCTGCTGTAGTTTTTATTATTTCCTTCATTCTGCTTGCTTTCTTTTAGACTGTTTGCACTTTCTCCATTGTCTTCCTGTGAGGGTTGCTTTACATGGGTCTCCTAAATTTTGTTATATAGTTTCTTTATTTTTGTTCATCTCCAAGCATTTTCCAATATCCCTTTTGACTTCTTTGTTTGATAAGTGTGTTACATACTTTAATTTCTAGATCATTGTAAATTATTCAATTTCCTCCTGTGATTTTTATGGTTTCTCTGTTGTAGTTAAGTAACATACTTTGGATTCTGTCTTTTTTAAATGTGTTATTTCATGGCCTGCCATATGATCTATTCTGGAAAATATCCTACATACTATTGGGAAGAATGTATATTCTGATGTAATGGACTTGAGTGTTCTGTGAATGTCTGTAAGGTCTAGTTCATTATGGTGTTTTTCAAGTTTTCTTCTCCTTATTGATTTTCTGCCTAGTTGAAATATCAGTGAAAATAAAGTGTTGGACTCTCTAATGATTGTTAATGTCTCTTTTTCCTCTGTCAGTTTTTATTTCATCTGTTTTGGCAAACTCTTGTAACTCTTATTTAAGTGTATTTATACATATGTATGTATGTATAATTGTTAACCTTCCTAATGGATTGACCCATTTTTCCATATAAAATCTCCCTGTTTAACAGGTTTTTGTTTTAAAGTTTATTTTATCTGATGTTAATATATAATCACTTCAGTACTTTGTTGTTTTACCTTTAACCTTGTATCTTTGAGTATAAAGTTTGTTACACTTAGCATATAATTGGATTTTGATTTTTTTATCTTTAAATCCAGCCTAATAACAATCTGCCTATGATTGAATAATATAATCTGCTAACACTTGTTTTTATTTAAATAGAGTAGAATTTTTCTGCCATGTTACTTTTTGTTTTCTGTGTCTCATGTCTATTTTGTTCTTCTCTTCCTCCTTTACTGCTTTTTTTTGCATTAAGTGAATGTAATAAAGCATTTTTAATTTGTAATGTAGCAGTTTAATTGTATTAATTATTCACTATCATTGAAAGTTATTTCTTTAATTGTTGCTCTGTACATTACCATATATGTTATATAATCAGATTCAGATTCATATTCTAGTGAGTTATAGAAATATTACCCCTATATAAATCCTTTTGCCTCTTTTTCCTGGTATTATTGTTATACATATTTTATCTATAAATGTTACAAGTTCAGGAAAAGTTTTTATGATCATTGTTTTTTTGTAAATGTATGCGTTTTACAGAAGCAGAGGAAGTCCAGAAAGTCCTAACTTAAACTCTCTATAGGTTCTTGGAAGTTGTGACTTTAAGCAAAATTGTGCAGTGAGAACAAATCCTTAAATAGGATAATAGTTATTTTATTTCATTCAACATGGACCAGGATTGTTTTTTCTCATAAAGGTTACCACAAAACAATGTTAAATAAGTCAACATTGATGCTATTCAAAGACCTGGTATATATACTTAACAGCTTTTGTTAACTCTTTGTTATTTCCAGTTAGTTTATTCCTGTGGATTTGATTACTATCTGGGGTCATTTCCTTAGCCCAGTAACAGCTTTGTAATGTATCTATCTCCTTTTTGTGGTTGGCAAATACATTACATATGTCATACTTCTAAATTTTGTAGGCTTGACAATATATTTTATGCATAATGTTTTATGAAGTTACTTTTTAAATCAATTAAGAGAACAACTACTAACTTAATAATTACCTTTGCCAGGCACTCATTTGTTTTTTCTATACATTTTAATTACTCTCTGGGTTCATTATTTTTAGCCTGCGGACTTCCTTTCATATATATATGGTATATATATATCATATATATATATATATTTATCATATATATATATGATATATATATATAATATATATATAATATATATATTATATATATATATATATCATATATATATATATATATTATATATATATATATATAAAGACTTATTTTACTTTGGCCCCCCGATGGTGGCTTAGCGGGTTAGGACGTAGTACTTCAAACTAGCTGCAGCCAATTCAGTGTGAATTTGATCCCTGGCCCCGGAGGTGGCCCACATGGTGCAGCAGACCTCTCCTGTCTTGTCCACCGCTCCTCTTAACAGTGTACTTACTTCATGGATCTGCCTGTTTTGCTCCCTGCTCTGTCTCTGGTGCATCCTCTCACTGCCCCTGCCCTCTGGCCTGTACCCCAGTTATGTATGAATAAATAAATTAAATCTTTTTTAAAAAAAATTATTTGTTTATGTATACAAGAGCTGAGGAATAGGCCAGAGGTGTGGTGAGAGGATTCACCATGGATAGTAGGGAGCAGATCAGGCAGATTTACTGAAATATACTGCTGAGGGGAGCAGTGGGAGAGACTGGAGAGGTCTGTTGTGTCATATGGGTCAGTTCCTTGGTCAGGATTGAACTCATGTTGCAGTGGCTGCCAATAGCTAGGTAATACTTAGAGCTAATCCCTTATGCTACCAAGGAGGCCCATTCCTTTTGTATTTCTTAAAGAACAGGTTCACTAGCAGCATTCTTTTTATCTGAGAGTAACTATGTCACTTTAATTTTAAAAGGATTTCTATATATAGCCTTCTTATTTCATAGTTTTCTTTGAACACTTTACATTTTCTTTCCACTTTGACCACCATTATTTCTACTAAGAAGGTAAACTTACTGGAGTTGCTGTGTAATTTATGAACCATTTTCTCTGGCTGCTTTTAAACTTATATTCTTGTCCTAAATTTTTATATACAGTATTTATTGTGGATTTCTGCATTTATCTTATATAGGATTTGTTAAGCTTCCTTCATGTGTAGATAAGTGACTTTCAGTAAGGCTGAGAAGTTTTCAGCCATTATTTCTTTGACTTTCTTTCTGCTTCATTCTTTTTCTCTCTCTGTTCCTACCCCTCACTTTAGTATTCTTGTTCACTATTTATGTGTTGGACTCCACATTTATCTGACACTGTTCATTTTTCTTTTTCATGCTCTTATTCCATGTGTTTGGATAGGCTCTTACTGATAATATTCAGGGTTACAAAATCTTCCTTCTCTTGAGTTCCCTCTAGTGAATTTTCATTTAGCTGTGCTTTTCATCTCCAGAATTTTTCATTGGTTCTTTTTTTCCTTATTGTCATTTTAATCTCTTCATTGATACTGCCTATTTGATGCACCATTGTCATCTTCTTCGTTAATCATTGTATACTTTACTTCTTTGTACATATATATAAATAGCTACTTTGAAATGTTGTTAAATCTAGTTTCTTTCCCAGTTTTTCTTGTCTTTTTTCCCCCTAGATTATGGGTCATAATTGACTTTTTTGTTGTTTGTTTTTGGATTTTGCTGTCTTTTAATTTTTTTGTTGGAAAATTATCTTTTTTTTTTTTTAAAGATTTATTTATTTGTGCATACAGAACTGCGGTATAGGCCAGAGGTGCAGCGGTGGTGAGAGGCTTCACCAGAGACAGAATGGGTTGTAGAACAGGCCAACTGACAAGTACACTGCTGAAGGGAGCAGCGGGTGGGCCAGGAGAGGTCTGCCCTGCCATATGGATCACCTTAGGGGCAAGCCGGGATCCAACTCATGCTGAAGTGGCTTTAGCTTCTTAGTGCTGTGCTTTAGCACACTGAGCCACCAGGGAGGGCCTGGAAAATGATAATTTTAGCTAATGTATTATAGCAACTTGAGCAACACTCCTTGCCTCCCACCCCCATTCTGGCCTGTTACTTGTTCAGTGATCATCTGGGTTGTTTTAGTGATATCTTCATCCAGGATGAAGCATGTGCAAATTTTGTTATGCTGACAGTGTTCCTTGAAGAACAGTCATGAGCATCTTTTTGACTATTTTCTTGACTACATCCAGCAATTGCTAGCTTATTGTTGTTTTAAACAGTGCTCTGATGAATATACTACTACACAGATTCATCCAATCAAATTCATTTTAAATAATTCTTTTTTAGGAAGGTCTGTTTTGAGATTTATTCTGACCTGGAAGAGCACCTCAGCCTACCCCTTTCCTTAGTTCTCTCTGGCAACCTAATCAGCCCATATACAGTTCAGCCTATTTCTTTAGTGAATCTATTAGTTACCCCAAATGTTGTGTACATCAATCTGCTATTTTTTTATCTGCTATTTTTTAAGAGTACTCTTATACCAAAACTTATCCTTACTTACAAATGAAGTTAGTTCCTTAGTGAAGAAATTTGGAGCTTTCATTTTTGTGGTATCCTCTCTTAGTCAAAAACCTCTGTGTTGTAATGTGAAATAAGGGCTTGTTTCTGAATACACCCCTGCCTTAGATGCTGAATTCTCTGACAGTGTTAGCCTTAGGCCTTGTCATTGTGCCTCTCCTGCCTTGCAAGCCCTGATTTATAAACTATAAATGAACTGAGTCAAGGGCAATCTGGGTTCCAGTATCTTTGTGGAGTCATATCCAAAGTAGAGCCTATGGTTTTGCAGTTGAAGTGGAAGAAGGAAGTCCCTCCACCTGTCAGCCTCACTCTATTGGAACTTAGCCTTAGCAGCTGTAGTTGGAGGTAGAATGAGAAATGCTGACATCCTGCCCCCTAGGGAGATAAGCCTCTAACTGGAAGGTGGGAGGAGCAGGAACCCAGTTCTTTGCTGCACCATTCTAAAGTGTTTCTTGGAAGGAGGAAGGAGAGAGGAAATGAGTCTTGATTCAAATGCCACAGTCTCTTACTGTTCTTACTCATTTCTGTTGATTTTCTTGAGTAAATGTTTCTTTGCTTGCAGTCATTTCCAGAGACGATAAATGCTATTTGTTATAATTTTTACCAGTTTTGCTCTGGAGCAGATCCAAGGACCACCTACTGTCCTGCTGAAAATGAACCTCTGAACCTTACACTTTTACATGGAGATTGCCATCTTTTTGCTATTTTACAAAATGATGTTTAAGTAGCTTGAAAAATTTGAAGGAATTTATTCTCAAATGAAGAGCCCACGAGGAGTGTGGCTTGAAGTATGTGGTAGAATATAACCACTCTAATATTAACATATTTCATTAACAGTTTAATATTTTGTATAGTCTTGGTGTTTTATTTTTAAAATTTTTATGCAGATACGGGGTCATGATTTTAAAAGTCAGAAAGGCTTCATTAATCTTAACTCCGTTTCTTTTTCCATAATTTAAATTTGATATTTGATATTATTATAATGTCTTTTTTATTTTATTATTTTGTTAGAGGCAGTAATGAACCAGGAAAAAAGAAACAGCATATCTGTCATATTGAAGGATGTGGAAAAGTTTATGGCAAAACATCTCACCTTCGAGCACATCTTCGCTGGCATACTGGAGAAAGACCTTTCGTGTGCAACTGGATGTTTTGTGGCAAAAGATTTACAAGGAGTGATGAACTACAGAGACATAGAAGAACACATACAGGTTAGTTGATTTATTTTGGGCTTGTCCTTTTTGTTTTTTAGTGTTTAGGTGAAGTTTTTAGTAATAGTTATAGCTATCAGATTGAAAATACAGCAATTCTTTTTTGGTGAGTGTTTTAGCAAATGAAAAAGTTGTATTGTGATATTATTGATGACTTACTTTTTACTTTTATAACCCAGAAAAATTGATTAAAATATTAAAAATTATATAAAAATACCTGTCAACTCTTATTCAATATTTGTCATGTTATGTATTTATTTTTAGATATATTTTTTAAAATTTATGCATACAAGAGCTGGGGTATAGATTAAAGGTCCAAGGTTGGAGGGTGAATGGGAGGATTCACCAGAGACTGACTAGGGAGCAAACAAGTGGATCTACTGAAGTATACTCCTGAGGAGAGCAGGGAGTGGGACAGGAGAGATCTGCTTATAGGTCAGCTCCCTGTCTATGGATCAAGCTCATGCTGCAGGTTCATTGTGTGAGACTTAGCCCTTTGTGCCGCCAGAGAAGCCCCCTATATTTTGCTATTTTTTAATAACAAAGTATCATCTTCTCAAAAACAACTACCATGAATTTCAAATATAACTTTTTAGTACAATTTTAATATTCTTATATGTACTGTTTATGCTTATGTATGTAAACTTTTACATAGAATAGCAAGAAATTTTGCACAAATTGTATTATACACAGTATTATAATTTCATTTATATTTTTAATTAAAGGTCATATATAATTTTGTGCATGTGTGTGTTTCTTTTAACTACTCTATATAATATTTCATCTTGTAACTCCATCACACTATTTTTTCCTCTTTAAAGTAAAGTAACATAACAAAATTTCAGATTCAGGTATATAGTCATTTCTCATCTTTGTTCCATACTAGTATCAATATATTTCTTATACTGTTTAGATTATGACTTTTTTTTTTTAAGATTTATTTATTTATGCATATAGAACTGGGGTACAGGCCAGAGGTGCAGGGGCAGTAAGGATTCACCAGAAACAGAGCGGGGAGCAGAGCAGGCTGACTAAAGAAGTACACAGCTGAGGGGAACAGCAGGCAGGTCAGGAGAGGTCTGCCGCCATGTGGATCACCTCTGCCATGTGGATAACCTCCGCGGCTGGAGATTGAACTCATGCAGAAGTGCTTTACCCTGATGTGCCACCATAGAGGGCGCTATGACTAAATTTTTTAGTTACAGAGATTACATCTCTGAGTTTACAGTAAATATGTATAATTAGATTTATTGGATCTTATAGAAATGCTTATGCTTGATTCTACTAGATTAACAGCCAAAGGAGCTCTGCAGTGACTGTTATCTCTAATTCATTAGTGTGATTGAGAGTTTACTTCTTCACAGTGTATTCACCAATACTGAGTAATGTCAGGCTTTGCTTTGAAAATTTTTGTGAACTCAGAATACATTCTCAGGGTTTTGTTTTGTTTTGTTTTTTGATGTTTTCTGGTCATCAGTGAGATAAAGCATCTTTTCATATGTTTTTTGTTTGTGTATGTTTCTTTTACTCTTGATCAGTTCCTTAGCTCATCTACTTCTTGTTTGTTTTCCTTTTTCTTACCAATTTAAATATTGCATTTCCTCATATACCGGTCTTCCTCACTTTAATATGGATTGCATACTGGTTAAACCATCATAAATTGAAATATAAATCAAAAATGAAGTTATTACACCTGACCTACCAAACACTATAGATTAGCCTCTTCTATCTTTAACATGCTCAGAACACTTAGCCAACAGTTTGGGAAAATCATCTAACATTTAATAATAAAATATTAAATGTCTCGTGTATTTTATTAAATACTGTACTGTAAATGAAAAAATGGAGTGATTTTATGGGTTCTCACTATTACTGTACACAGCTAAAAGCATACCTGACCTGAAGAATGAAGCATATTTTTTGGTCAGCTGCTATATATTAGATATTCCTAATATATATTATTGCTAATATTATATATTACTTCTAAAACATATAGTCAGATATTTCTAATAAAATCCTAATATTGATATTTGCTATATATCAGTATTTCTAACATCCACACTGTGACATAGAAATTAACTTCATTTATCAGAAAATAGTTGCAAGAGAAAATACTTATTAAAACCATTAAAGTAATAGTTTACTAATTTGACATGCACATAAGTTAGTAACATAGGTAAGTGTTGGTATGTTAGCTCAGTTCTTGACTTAACATTATGTTAAAACTAAGAATTTTAATAAAGAAGATTTAAGTGCCTTCTATATGGCATTGCACTGGAGCTTTCTAATGCCACTTCATCCCTCATTGGCAAATAACATGAAATAAATCAATTTCATAACAATGTTGATATCTACTTTAGAAAAATATTTTGTTGTTTATGTAATAAGAGAGGATGCAGTATTGCCATCCAAATTAGTAGTGGGACAAGCTAGGATGCCACTCTTTGATTTAGAACTTTGCATTGTGATTTTATTATTTTGTTTGAGAAATAATCAGTTTTTAATGTCCATCTCTATCACACATTTACACTTATAGATAAATTTATCTAATTATATGTATGTATCCTTTCAAACCAATATTAATGTTTGGAAGGCTTGTTTTCTTTTACTGCTATTATAGTGCCACACCATTATGATAATGTTACTGATTTGAGTAATTGAGGATCAAATTATTCTGCATTTACTTTCCATGTTTCAAATATCTTGACTTCACATCTGCAAACTTGTTTAAGTAAATATGTTACACTAAAAAATTTTAAGCTTTATCAGTATACTTAATGTAACTTTTCAAGATCTGATACAGTAACTTCTAAGCATTTAATAGAGCTGTTAAAATATAAAGTAATATATTTTGAAATAAATATATATTGATTAATAAGCATTTAAATATGCTTAAGTGGAAAGCCTTAACCATTCATGGCAAGAAACATGTTTTATTTAATGCCCAGTCACTACAGTAAGCATAAACTTGGTACCCTACTGTGAATAAATAAATAATTTTTATTTATGGGGCCTCCCTGGTGACATAGGGGCTAAAGACACAGTACTATCAAGCTGTCACCAGCCACTGCAGCATGAGTTTGATCCCCAGTCAGGGAGATAACCTACAGATGGTGCTGCAGACCTTTCAAGTCTTGCCCAATGTTCTCCACAACTCTGGCCTACACTCTAGCTCTTGGATGCATAAATAACTAAAAATAAATGTTTTAAATTTTTTTATTTACTGCTGAAGGTGAGGTTTTTGTTTAATTTTGCTTTTTGAAAAATTTTTGTGTCCTATAGAAGAATTAATAAGGACACACTATACCCCTCCACAGAGAAAAACTACATTTTTTTAACTAGTTTTACTTTTTTTTCCTTCCTATGATGTCTGTTATATATCTAAATTATATGTTTATATTTTTACTGTTGGACTGTTCTTGCACTTAGCATTTAGATTTACTTCATTTTGCACCATCTGACAATATTCCAGTTCTTTTTAACTGTGCAGTTGAGAGATTATATCTTGATTCACCACTCTGATAAGGTTATTACAATGACTGTCCTTTATTTTCTATCTCTTCACTGCTGAATTTTTACCATCTTATATTTTACTTTCTCTTGATGCTACAAGGTTTATATTTTCTTCAATAAACACTGTCTCCTTTTTAAATATAGCTCAGGTCTTCAATGAAAATTAGCATGTAATTATGACTGTGTAATATCTGTGCCTACATAATCCTTCCTGTGTGGTTTCATTTCTTCTTAAAGTTTCTAATTGCCTTTATTTTTTTCATGGGGGTAGCTTTAACCTTCGTATGCTGTTTTTTCTGTTTGAGAATGGTATAGATTCCATCCAGTTGCATCTTTTTTTGTAGGGTTCAGGTTTCTGGTCAAATACAGACTGATTTCTCCCTTAATCTACTGTACAACTGTAGTCTCAAGACATTTCTTCCATGCTGTATTGGTTTAAATCCAGTTTCTGAAAGTCTTAATATCTTCATATTTCCACGTTTTTTCCTTTGGTTGCTAGAAGGTATTCTCAGCAATTTCATATTAAAGAAAGCACAGGGAAGTAAATTTGTCTGAAAATGTCTCCGTTTTCCCACTTAATTGGTTTGTCTAATACAGAATTCTAGGTTGAAAATTATATACACTCAAAGCATTAAAGACACTATTCTCTGACTTGCATCTGGGTTTTTTTTTTTGTTTGTTTGTTTTTTTTAAATGTATACAGAACTGGGTACAGGCCAGGCCAGAGGTGCAGGGGTGGTGAGCTGCTTCACCAGAGACAGAGTAGGGAGCAGAACAGGCAGATTGATGAAGTACACCGCAGAAGGGAGCAGCGGGCGGGTCAGGAAAGGTCTGCCACACCATGTGGATCACTTCTGGGGTGGGGATCGAACTCCTGCTGAAGTGGCTTTAGCTTCTTAGTGCTGTACTTTAACCCACTGCACCACCATGGAGAGCTGAGCAATAAGTCCATTGCTCTTTGATTTTTTTTTTTTAAATAGGTGACCTGATTTTTCCCATTCAAGAGGGGACAAAGAACCAATTTATTTTTTGCTTTGAAACAAACTTAACACTTACCCAAACATTGCAGCTTCCTCTACTACTAGCCACACCCAAAACCAGAGTAGTTTATGAAAACTAAAACATTAATACTGGTATGGAACTACTAATTAAATTGTAAACTCTCCCACAAATGTATTTTTTCTGTTCTAAGACTTTGATGTGGTATATTTTTGTCATGGTCTTCAGCCTCCTGCAATCTTTGGAGTTTCCTCTTTTTTAAGAACATAAAGAAATAAATGGTGAGGCAACATTGGTTTATAATAATATATAGTAAGAATTCTAATCTGACATCAGTATATACTGCATGTCCACAAAAATTGATTGTCTGGGGCCTCCCTGATGGCACAGGGGTCAAAGTCTCAACGCTATCAAGCTATACAACCTGAGTTTGATCCCAGCCAGAGCTGACCCACATGGCGGTGCAGCAAACCTCTCCTGTGTCACCA